ACACAACTGCCACCCATCCTCCCTCATTAACATCATAGAGGCAGGATTTACAACATATACAAAAATTACACAATACAAGGAATCATGGCCCAGCCAAACTGATACACACATTTTTGGGGGACATAATTCAATCCATGACCGTCCTCTGTCCAGCTCTTCCCCTCACCCACTTAAGCCAGGTGGGGACACATGCCAGCAAATTCAAGGTGAGGGACCACACTGGTAGTGGGTGGGTGAGTGGCTTGTGGGCAACCAGAATTGATCAATTTTCGGACCCTCTGACTATGAGGTCTCTGACTCCACGACAACCCCAGAATCATTGCCGTGTGTATATTTGTCAGTGTCTGCCTTTAATTTGTGTGCTGGTGGTTTCATTGGCTACTCAGTGGCTGAGTGGGCTAAAATAGTCTTGTTCTGTCCAGCCAAATGAGTATCTACAAAAAGAAAAACAAGGAGTGAAAGCTCAGAGAGTCCCACCACTTCTGATTGTCCCCACATCCTCTGCTCTAAGAGAAGTGTAGTATAGTAATGTAGTATTTTTCTATATATTAACATAAGAGGCTAGGAGAGTAGTAGCCAGAGATATATGTGAACATCTATAGTTTTTCTGTCACCAGCTTGATGTCACTGGAAAACATTCTGTCTATCTACCCATCATCTAAAAAGTGATCACACTCCTACTAACATGCAAAAAAAGAAAAGGGAAGAAAACCTTGCAGAATACTCAGAAGTAAACACAGTGCAACATGTGAAATGAGGAAAGGCCTTTATGTGACTGGATGATGTGACAGACTTACATAAGTTTCAGAGGAAGCCTGTAGACTTAGCATGAATATCAGACACCATGGAGGTAGCTGTTTTCCTCCAGTCTCTGTAGATGCATTCTAGGACATTCCAAGTGGAGCCACGTTTGGTCCTTTGGACCCACCTTAACCACAGGCTCCATCAGTGGAGAGCAAAGTCTTGGCTTAATTATTCTGAATGCACACTCTGAATGTACCTCTTTCATTTCCTGCTGCAATTTTTTAAAGCCAGAGGAAAGCAGATTTAGATGGGCATCATGAGTAGCCTCATTTAAACTGTCGTTTAATCATCAATGAATTTTTCAAAAACTGATGCTTACTATAAACCTGATGCTGTGCTTCTCGCTAAAGACTCAACAGAGAACAAGACAAGCTCCTGCCTGCAGGGCCCTCAAGCACTGTAGTGCTAAGGTGGTGGGAGGGGACATGGGTGAGGAAGCCCCAAAGGACAGGAGAATTCACCCTCACCAATCTGAGGGTATGAGAGGACTTGGGGACAGGGTCCAATGTGGCTGTTATGGATTCAGTTGTGTTCCCCAAAAATACGTGTTGTAAATCTTAGCCTCTATGCCTGTGGTTATAATCCCATTTGGGAACTGGCTGTCTTTGTTATGTTAGTGAGACAAGATTAGTGTAGGGTGTGTCTTGAGTCAATCTCTTTTGAGATATAAAAGAGATTAAACAAGCCATTGAGTGAGCAGAGATGGGGGGAAGAGAGATGTCAAGCTACATGGATCACCCTGGAGCAGAAGCTCAGAAGAGACAAGGACCTTCCTCCAGAGCCAAGAGAGAGAGAAAGCCTTCCACTACAGCCCGCGCTCTGAATTCAGACTTCCAGCCTCCTAAATTGTGAGAAAATAAATTTCTGTTTGTTAAGGCCATCCATTTATGCTATTTCAGTTATAGCAGCACTAGATAACTAAGACTGGGCCCATGTGAACCTGTAGCATCTCCGGCTCAGGAGAGCTGATGGCTCTAGTGATCTTACCCTTCACTAAGTATGGCAGCATGCCCTGAGTTTGCGTCAAAAAGTGTAACGAGAAGGTCTTGCCTTCAAGGAGGCCCCACACTGGAAAGGAGCCTTTTCCCCAAGTGTCCAGCTCCAGGTAGTGACTGCCATACCCTTAACTGGTCTCAGCAAACAGTGGACTCAAGGCAGTGGGTACCACTCTCCTTCCGCTTAAGGTATGTCTGGAGGGATAGAGCTAGAGAGGGAGGGGGAGAGGTAAAGAGGAAGAGAGGAAAAAGGGAGATAGAAGGTAAAGGGAGGGAGGAAAGAGGGAGAGAATGAGAGTACGAGCGATAATTTTAGTGTTTGTTAAAACTTTAAAAAATAAAATCTTTTCTTGAATACAACTGCGTGATTGCTAACCAACAGGTCACAGATCGTATGGAATACTTTATTGATGTGGAAATTGCCCGCAGCACCTGCAAAAAGCCTTTAAACAACACTGAAAACTGTGTCATTCAAGAAAAATACAAACTGGGAAAGGTAGGTGACAAACCGACCGTCAGGGAAGGCTTGGCTGCTCTGAGCCAAAGACAGAAACTTGGGGGTGCCCAGACCTCTCTCTGAGGTCAACCCTGTGACTTTTAGAGCAGAGGGTGTGGGAACAAACAGAAGGTGACGGGATGCTCTGAGCCTTCTCCCACTCTTTGTCCCAGGGACAGGATGTGGCTAAGATCACTCTGAGAACAAGAGTTCTATTGACTCTGGCCTTTGATGCAGGAAGACTTGCCACCACTGTTGCACTGAGTGTCTCTCCCCTTGGACCTGAATTAGAACCCACTGGCCCTATGGTTGCTCATCACTACCCATATACCCGTTGCCGTCGAGTCAACTGTGACTCTTAACGACCTTATAGGACAGAGTAGAACTGCCCCGTAGAGTTTCCAAGGAGTGGCTGGTGGATTTGAACTGCCAACTTTTTTGGTTAGCAGTCGTAACTCTTAACCACTGAGCCACCAGGGCTCCTTGCTCATCACTGGGGAGGTCAAAGGGAAGCGTGCATTTACTCAACTGCTCATAAAAACTTATGAACCCTACTTTGTGCCGAGTGCTGTTCCCTGCGCTGGAGGCTCAGCAGTGACTAGTCAACAGTGTCCTTGTGCTCCTGGGCACACATGGGAGTCTTGCTGGGCTCAGCCAGGGTTCCTGTGAGGGCCAGGAAGCAGCCCAAAGACTTGCCCTAAAGGGGTGACTGGGTCCAGGGTCTTTGAGCCTTAAGCCTGCATTTCCTGATCACAGCGGTGGGAGAGAGCCTCAAATCGTTCACTCTGACAGTTGCTTAGTCCAAGATGGAAAAAGTACCCAGTCTTCTGCAGGTTTTTCCTCCAGGGAACTTGAATGTGTCTTTGCCCCTTTCTTTAAACTGGTGGTTCTCCAACTTGAGCGGGTATCGGAATCACCTGGAGGCTTTGATAAAATCCAGAGGGCTGGGCCCCACTTGCAGAGTTTCTGATTCAGTGAGTCTGAGTTGGGTTCAAGAATTTGCATTTTTAGCAAGTTCCCTGGTGATGCTGCTCCCGCTGGCCTGAGGACCACTCTTGGAGAACTAGTCATATGCTATGCGGAATAGGAAGTAAACTGTGAGCTACAGCTAACAGAGTGCACACCCACCATGTTTGACTAAAACTGCCTCCTTATGCTAATTTGAAAAAAAAAAGTTCTTTCATTTCAAATGAATAGTAGATACCATCAGGACAAGCATTTAAGCAGGAAGCATGTTCTAATGCGATCTAATCATTTATGTTTATACTCTACTGTCTTATGCTTGTATTTTACTGTTATTAGGAGTGTGGTTGTTTTAAGTTCATATTTTCTACTGAGTTTTTTGTGATTACAGAGAAATCATTGCTTTTTGCCTGTTTGTCTTGGTTCAGCCCCATGGAACCCACTCTGTATGTCCCTGCAGACTCTCTTGGTTTTCAAGGCACATGTGCATATTTATCAATAATGAAAACTCTGTTTCTTTTTTCCAAACCTTTGGAATATCATTGAAGAATAATAATACTGGGCACCTCTTGTTGTCCCCAGGTTTAATGGGAATGTCTCCAGTATTTATATCTTATTATTAAATACTATTGGAGCTCTGGTGGTGCAGTGGTTAAGATCTGTGTGGCTGCTAACCAAAAGACAGGCAGCTGGAAGCCACCAACCTCTCCTTGAAAACCCTATGGGGCAGTTCTGCTCTGTCCTATAAGATTGCTATGAGTTGGAATTGACTCGACAGCAATGGGTTATTAATGTTGAACCATTCTTACATTTCTGGAATATGGTGCATTTGTCTTTTAGAATAGAGTGGAATTCAATATGTTACAACTTTATTTAGGAATTTTGCTTTTATGTATAGTGAGTACTCTCAAACCTCCCTGATGTTAAGAAACGCTTGGAGTACATGGTAAACACACACATGTATACATACACTCACACACAAGCACACACATACATATTCACAATGCACTCACATGTACATGCACACTGCACACACATCTGCATCCACAAGATTCACACATGTGATTGCACATATATGTACACACATGCACACACTCACATACATACTTCTGGAAATGCCTTAATGACTTCAGTCTATTTAAGAGGCTATCTATCCATCCATCCAGCCATCCAGCCATCCATCTTATCTACCTATCTATCGCACACAGGCAGACTACTTCATTTGCCATTTCAGTGGTATTTTGAAAGGGAGAGAAAGGATTCCTTCTATGTTAGAACCCTAGAGGTCTCTAAATTGCTCTTACCCTGACTTATTTTCTATTAGAACAAAAGGGATTTTTTAATTATTAAAATAATATACATTTGCATATATCTAACACAGAATTGCTTTACATTACAGAAAACATTAAAGATAATTGAAAATAAAATTAAGTTTACATCTAATCTCCCACAAATATATTATGATTTTTAGTATTTGTTGTCGGTGCGGTGGTTAAGAGCTTGGCTGCTAACCAAAAGGTCAGCAGTTCGAATCCACCAGCCGCTCCTTGGAATCTCCATGGGGCAGTTCTATTCTGTTCTGTAGGGTTGCTATGAGTTGGAATCGACTCGACAGCAATAGATTTGGTTTTTTGGTGATCGTGATAAGTAATATAACAGGGGTCCGTAACTGCTGACGGCTCTAAAAGTCTGAAGTCTCCAGCTTACCATATTCCTGAGGGCATTCTTGATGGGTCACAACATACCTTCTAGAACATTGCTAAACTGAAACCTAGCAACAATTTTTTTCTTTTTATCTTGTCACACTGATTTTTGTTGTTCCTGTCATTGTCTTTTTCAGAAAGCAATTTGCAACTTTTTGGTAGGAGCGCTTCCCTGGAATGGAGAGTTCACCGTGATGAAAACAAAATGTGTGGATGCCTAGCGGGTTCTGGGGCACAACTCCAACCCCTGGCTCTGCCTTTTTCTTTGAAAAAAGGACAATGGCATGCACAAGACTTCACCAACATGCTTTCCTCACAACTTCATCTCTGCTTGCCTTTTGTTTCTACTTTCATATCACATGGTAATGAAACATGGGGATGTCCAATTCCTTGTAGCAGTGGCGACTAATTGTCTGGACGGCAAAGACAGTAACCAATGCCACAACTCTTACAGAGAAGCCGGGCCAGGAGGGTCACTCTGAGGAGTCGACCCCCCCCCCCACCTCAGTCCCAGGAGTTTATTTTATAGTCAATACAGCAAGCAATAAAGCAATTAACAGAACAATGGGCTTTGGGTGTGGGCAAGGGAGAAGGAATTCAGGTAAACAAGCCTATCAGTAAAGGGACAATAGGTTTGGGAAAACAAATCGTGACAAGTCTCAACATGTTGGAGACAAATCTCAACATGTTGTGCCGCATAGAGGCCTGTGGGGGCTGCAGTTGTCAATAGTGCCGCCATGTTTAAATGGCATATATCCCCACAATTCCTATTTCCTGGAATCAAGGGGGGTCAGTCACCTTTGATCAGCTTGATTATCCACCACCAGGGTTGTTCATTACCAATTACAAAGAACGGAGTGAGGGTCTGATTTCATTCCCCACTGCAAATTTAAGCATGAATCCCCTTTGATTGGGTAATAGGCCCCTATCGAGTCTGAATGCAATAAGTGCTAACTCTACAGGTTCCTTTGGATGCCTCCTTGGTGTGAGGCTACTTCCTGCCTGAGAAATCCTGAGTAGACAGGTCACCTGGGCTGGGAGACCCGTTTGGCAGAAGCATCTGTCCTCTCCAGTGGGGTCTCTGTGAATGGGAGGGTGGGGTGGATTTTTGTGGTTTTTTATGAGAAGTTAAACAATGGTCACAAAGAGAGAAGGGTGCAGGCAATAAGCCTCAAGAGTAAGCTACATTTATGGCATATGTCTGTGCGTGCATGTGTGTGTATGCGCCTGAGAGAAAGAGAGATTGTTGAGATTGGGGGAATATGGAGAAGGAAGCAGATGAGTCAAGGGGACTCATCAAGGGAAAAAGGAGGTAAAATTCACTTGATGAAATTGTTAAAAATGGACTTGTCTATTTTAGATGTAGTGTTGAGTATGCCTCGGGGGGCCAATTGTATTTCAGAGGTACACAAACTTGAGCCAGGCTGTAGCTCACATGACCTAGTTGGTGATGGAGATTTCAGTATTTCTGCCCCAGACAGAATGATGCCACAGAATTTAAAGGCTGTTACTTTTTTCTGTAATTTTCTGACTTAGCCAATTTTTTCATAGATTGGGTCACCACTTGGGACAGCAGCAGATAAGTGGAATTCACCTTTCAAGGCCCTTCCTGTCTTGTCTCTTCCCTTCCTCAGCCTCTGCCTGCAATTCTCTCTTCATTGACCACTCCCATCCTCATGCCCCCAGAGCTCCACTAATGAGGCCCTCCTCTGCTTCCTCTTTCCCTTCCCAAGACCTTCACCTAACCTGGGGCTGTGGTTTGGATCCGTAGATATGTTTACACGACTTTAGTGCACAGATCATTAATAACCTCTTCCTATGGCTAGGAAGGCTCCCTTAAAAATGGCTCCCATCACGCCTACACCCAGACACCCTGATGTACTGACCCACGTGGGGCAGCAGGTGGAGGAGACCATGCCCAGCTGTCTGTGGGGTTGCAGCTGCTGGATCAATTTCCAACTGCTTGAGTCTCTCTGGCTTTGTTGTATGTGGTTAAGGCACAAATAAATGTCTCAGGGAAAGATGGGATTTTGGGTCAACATCTTAGAATTGTGTTTCCTTATGGACAGCTGGTGGGAAGCGCCTGTACTCAGAATGTCTGGAGAAGGCATGCATCCAGCAGTGTGACCACCTGGACATGCAGATGGTGACTGCCCACCTGTGCTTTGCATAGATCTGCTTCCCACAGGCCCAGAGACCTGCCATGGCATGTGTTTATGCATGGGTCTTTTTCTAAGTAGATTTGTCTTCATATTAAAAGTTTAATTTAACCTTACCTCTTTCAGCCTGCCTCTCTAAATCTCATCTCTTTCACTAAACATGGCCCAACCAAATAAAATGCAAGGTAGACCTCACTTTCCCCACCTTGGATTTCATATCCTTTTTGCTAAGCTGTTCTAGGAACACAAGCACACATGTACACACAAGTACATGTATATACATGTATACAACCTTTCCTTCCCCTTTTCCAGATGGGAGCCCTTTGTGATAGGACCTGCTGCCTCAGTGAGGTTCTGAAAAAGACTCACTGTGGGCCCTGGACACCAAGCACTGTCTCTGTCTGGGACCCAGGGATGGGAGACCCAGGAGGCCGTGGGACCAGCAGGACAGTAGATCTTGAGGAAATGGGTGCGAACAGAGGGGCTGGGAATTAGGCTGGTGCCTCAGCAGTGGGGCCAGGCTCAGGACTGGCAATGGGGGGTGGTGCTTGCTATCTGCCCTGCTCCTGTCTCTGCAGAAACATATGGCCTGTCCAACTGGCAATCAATCATGGCCATCCAGTTTGAGAACAAGAGTCCAATATATCAAAAATCTTAGTCTGGGCCAGGGGGACCCACAGGCTAGTGGGAAGTGAGGTCAGGGGTGGGGGCTGTCAGGAATTGGGCTTGGCCATCTGGGGACCACACAGATAGCAGCAGCATAGAGCCCAGAGCCATGACTGGGTAGGGGTCAGGTGGGCTGTCCTGAGGATGGGGCCCAGCCCAAGTCTCTGCAGAGGGTAGTACCACCCAGCTTTCCATGTCCTTGTTGCGGGGCCTCACCCCTACCTGAGCTCCCAGCCTGCTCATCCAGAAACTGGGAGAGTGTCACAGCTGCCTGGGTCTGAGGGCCTGTGGGAACCAGAGGCAAGGGGAAGAGGTCTGTTGAGTAGTGTCCCATGTGCTTGCCAAAGAGGAGGGAGGTCCCCTTTTATGTCATTGGTACATTTAGACCTGTACGCATTTGTTGTGTCTCCAAAGGAGTCCAGGACAGATGGCCCAGACCTGGGGATAGATGGCCAGCCCCTGAGAGTGCTGGCTGTGTGTGGAGAGGAGTCACCAGTGTCATCGTGCTCCCCTGCCTTGGGCCTCTGTAGAGCGGGCCAGGGCGGGGCTGGGCTTTGGTCCAGCTCACGGGGAAAGCGCCCTCCAGAGCTGCCCAAGGCCACTCCAGAGCTGCCGGACATGGTGGGCAGGGCTCCAGGACTGTTGCAGCTCAGGGACAGGCTGTCTTACCTGTCTCCCCACCCTGGAAACGGCCATGTCTTTACTCCCTGCTGTCCTCTGGCTCTGTTGAGAAAAGTTACCAGAAACTTGGAAACAGGCAAAGGGAAGTTGGCATGTCCTTTTAATGTCATTCTGGAGCATTGCTTACCAGGCCACACAATGAATATTAAATTTTCTAGGGAAGAGTACCTCTGTTTGACTCATTATTAATGATTAAAGTCCAGACTCTGTAAAGTTACCACTTAACCTGTGGGTCGTTTTGCCCAAGAGAGATGCAGATGATTCTGTCTAGAAGAAAAAGTTGCCCCATATGTTATGGTTTTTTTTGTTCTGTAGGAAATCTGCCAGTTTTGTAACATCTAGGAATTTTCCCCCGATGTTCTTTCTCCATTTCCTAGTGCTGCTATAACAGAAATACCACAAGTGGGTGGCTTAAGGAACAGAAATTTATTTTCTTACAGTTTAGGAGGCTGGAAGTCTAAATTCAGGGCGTTGGCTCTCGGGGAAAGCTTTCTGTCTACTCTGGGGGACAATCCTTGTTTCCACTTCTCGAGGATTCTTCCAGGTGTTCCTTGGAGATCTCCATGTGACATCTATCTTTCCCCTATTGGTGCTTGCTTGCTCCTGTGCCTAATCTGCTCCTTTCATATCTCAAAGATAATTGGCTTAAGACACATCCTACACTGATACAGTCTCATTAATGTAACAAAGAAAACCCTATTCCCAACGGGATTACACCCACAGCTATTTTTGGGCAACACAATTCAATCCATAACAATACCCAATTACCACTGTTCCTGTAATTTCCTTTGAGCCAGCTGTACCTCCCTGCTGGCTCTCTCTCCACTGAGTCAAATAAATCAGATGCTTATTCTGTATTTGTAAGAGGATCTTGCTTTCAACATTTTGGAAATTATGCTTTGACCATTTCCATGTGAACTTCCCAGAGTTTCCCACATCTCAGGGGGGCAACGTGTCCCATGAGTTTCTGGAAGAGCTGCCCTCTTATTCTGCTGCATCCCACACCAGGCCCATGCAGTGAGAACTCGGAGATGGGCCTCCTCCAAGCCTGTCACTTGTGTTGGCCGAGGAAGATAAGAGGTACAAGTGATAAACGAAAAGTAGTGAAGAATTACTTTTGATGGATGTTAGCTTTGACCCTTCATTTAGGGCCTAGAAACAGTGTCAACAGGAGTCAGTGGGGAGTCAGAGTCAGGAGACCTGGAGAGTATCCCTTTGGAAAGAGGGTGTCTTAGTTATCTAGTGCTGCTACAACAGAAATACAAGTGGATGGCTTTAACAAAGAGAAATTTATTTCTTCACAGTCAAGCAGGCTAAAAGTCTGAATTTAGGGCGTCAGTTCCAGGGGAAGGCTTTCTCTCTCTGTTGGCCTTCTCATCAATGTTCCCCCAGACTAGGGAGCTTCTCCACGCAAGGACCCCAGGTCCAAAGGACACGCTGTGCTCCTGGCACTGCTTTCTTGGTGGTATGAGGTCCCCCTGTCTCTCTGCTCACTTCTCTTTTATATCTCAAGAGATTGCCTCAGGACACAATCCAGTCTTGTAGATCAGGTCCTGCCTTACTAACACAACTGCCACACATCTTCCCTCATTAACATCGTAGAGGCAGGTTTACAACATACAGGAAAATCACACAGTACCTGGAATCGTGACCTAGCCAAATTGATATACACATTTTTTGGGGGACATAATTCAAACTATGACAGGGGGTGAGGG